ATTATAGACAAGGATGTGTACAACTTTAATAAGTCTAGCTTCCTAATAGGCAAGATATTGTTGCAGCTAGTAGTAACAGGCTTAGAGAAGCCTAGGAAGCAGAAGAAGATCTAACCTAGCAATTATAAGTAGGTTACCCTAGTACAAGGCGTTAGGTTAACAGGGAAGGTTATCCTACTATTCCTTATCCTTACAGGCAAGGTTCTTATCTCTAACTAGTTTACTAAGGACCTCCTACAGGACTAGGTTATTAGTATTAGTCCTACTAGCTAGACTAACAATAATCTAGCGCTTACCTAGCTCTACTACTTTAATACGCATGCGAAGCTAGTTAGGGTCTACCAGCTACTTATTATTGACGGCCATGAGAGCCACTGCTTAGTGGCTTTCCAAGATCTCTGCAGAGAGAAGAAGATAATCACTCTCTGTATGCCCCTGCACTCATCGCACCTGTTGCAGCCACTTAACGTCGCCTGCTTCTCGCCACTAAAGCGCCTGTATAGCGACAAGGTTTCAGCCTTAGCACGCAGTCGCATCCACTATATTAACAAGGAAACCTTCCTGCTAGCCTTTAAATCAGCGTTTAGTAAGGTGTTCACTAGAGAGAACGTTCGCGCAGGCTTTAGAGGTGCTAGGCTAGTCCCACACAACCTAGAGGTGGTGTTATTAAAGCTTGATGTGCGCCTGCGCACGCCAACGCCACCAAAACCCAGCAACGTTGCCTAGGAGCCAAAGACACCACGCACTGCTTACAAAGTAGAGGAGCAGTTAACTCTAATTTAAAAGCAGATTTAAATCTATTAAGGGTCTCTAGCAAGTTTGTTAGATGAGCAGGTTAAACAGTTAGCAAAGGGTGCTTAGTAGATAGCTTATAATATAGTGTTAATATAGGAGGAAATAGGCCACCTTTAAGACGCTGTAGAAGCGTCTATAAAGCGCAAGACCTGTAAGTAATAATATATACACACAGAGGAGACCCTTACAGTTAGCAAAGTAGCTAACTTAATTACTAAAAAGGAGGGTAGGGGTTGTAGTAAGGGCAAGATGCCTATAAAGAGGGTGCATGTTAGACAACGCTATAGGTATTGTAGTAAGATTAGATACAATTCCTGCACTTACAAGGTAGAAATAGAGGATGTAGATAATAGTAAAGCTTCTAAATAATACTATCTAGGCCTGCAAACAATTATTTATTTGTGTTGTGTTGTGATATAGCGCTGCGCAGGCGTTCTGTTGTTGAAAGTGCGGCGCTCGGTTGGGTGCGGCGCTCGCTTGTGAAACACGTTACTATAGTATTTTAGGTAGAGGTACTGCTAGTAGGGTATGCAGCTATACTTTAAGGTAATCTAACACTACCTATATATTAGTAGGAATAAGCCCTAATACCTTAAAGGCCTTTTAGTAGTTAACCTTTATAAATATATTAAGGAACACATCCCTAAAGGCTAGTAGGAAGCCTTCCTTATTAATATAGAAGATGTATTAGTGTGCTAAGTCTTAAATATATTAGGAGTACTTATACTTTAATAGTAAGAAATAGACTATATTAAGTAGCTAGAGGATGTGTAATAAGTAAGGTAGTATATAGAGAGTAAGGATTTAGTTCTCTAGGTAATAGTTCTTAAACTCCTAGTTAAGATAGCTCTAATAGCTATCTAAGATAAG